TTTTGACATTACATTAAAAATAGTTTTTTCAAAATTTTGAAGTTCGAAAACCTATATTCTAAAACTCTATTGAAAATTCTCCTCCTTAGTAATTCGAAAAAAAGCAAACAAACACCATATGGAATACATTTATTAAGGCTTGTTTTTATAATTCAAACGTTTCCTTCCTTTTGTGTAGGATGTCACTTTATAATTTATAAAAAAGCCTGTTAATACTTTTATATAATGTGATAAAAAATTAAATAATACATAGTGTTAAAAAAAATAAATAAATTTCTAACAAAAACAAAAGCAAGATAATAATAAGAAAATATTAATTGCAAAACTACAACATTGAAGGCCTTCAAGTGTTTGTTTTAATCAAATGTTAAAAAATAACAACAAGAATAAAAAATATTTTTACGAACTTATATCACACGTAGGTCCACCATAGCCATGTTCACATTTACATTTATTGGGTGCCACACAAGTACCATGAACACACTTATCCTTACAGTCTGCTATACAGCCATGACCCAAGGGACTTAATTTATAACCATCTAAAAGTAGGAAATTTTAAAAATTGTATGATTGTTTAAAATTCGATTTAGATATTTTTGCAAAACAACTCACCACAACAATCATAAACAATGCGCTCCTTGGTTAAAGTGGTTGTTTTATTGACCACCTTTTGTTTTAGTGTATAAGTGGAACATCTTGGTGGCACATTGAAACACCAAATATTGCCACGAACTTGGTAATTTTGTAATTCAGTGGTGACAATTTCCACGGGATAGCTGGGAGGTGAGAAAAATTTTGAAATTTTTTAAAAGACTTCATTATTTTATATAAGTTCGAGGTCGTATTAAGTCAAAAACAAGACTAGACTAGTCAATAAATCAAACCTAGTGGACGACTCAATAGACTAGTCATTAGACTAGTCAATAGACTAGTCAATAGACTATGCCATAGACTAGTCAACATACCAGCCCACAGCCTAGTCAACAAACAATTCAATACACTAGTCCATAGAACAAAGCAGTCTAAAGATTAGTCAACAAATGAGTTCATATACTAGTGAACAAAGCAGTCTAAAGACTAGTCAAGAAACGAGTTCATATACTAGTCCAAAGACTGGTCCATTAACCTTTCTATAGGCAACTCTATAGAACTCTATAAGAGACTAAACCATAAACTAGTCTATAGACTAATCCATAAACTAGTCAATAGAATAGTCACTAGGCTAGTCAGTATATTAGTCAATAGACAATTCTAATAGACAAGGACTATTAACTAGACTATTGATTAGTCTACTGACATGTCTATTGACAAATCTACAGACTAATTTCTGAATTTGTCTATTAACTAGTTTATGTTTTAGTTGGAGGTCATATTAAGTCAACCAGAGCTAGATTAAACTAGTCAACAGATTAAACCATACCTAGTTAAGAGACTAGTTCGCATACTAGCCAATAGGCTAGTCCGTAGACTAGTCAATAGGGTAGTCAGTAGAATGGTCAATAGGGTAGTAAGTAGACTGGTCCATAGGCTAGTCCGTAAACTAGTCTATAGGCTAGTCCGTAGACTACTCAATAGGCTAGTCCGTATACTAGTCAATAGGCTAGTCCATAGACTGGTCCATAGACTGGTCAATAGGCTAGTCCGTAGACTGGTCAATAGGCTAGTCCGTAGACTGGTCAATAGGCTAGTCCGTAGACTGGTCAATAGGCTAGTCCGTAGATTAGTCAATAGGCTAGTCCGTAGACTCATCAATAGACTAGTCCGTAGACTGGTCAATACTCTAGTCTGTAAACTAGTCCATAGACTACTCAATAGGCTAGTCCGTATAATAGGCAATAGGGTAGTCAGTAGACTGGTCAATAGGCTAGTCCGTAGACTGGTCAATAGGCTAGTCCGTAGACTAGTCAATACACTAGTCCATAGACCATTCAATAGCCTAATCCATAGTCTATTGAGTAAACTATAGATTAGTCAGCAGATTAGTCAGCACACTAGTCAGTGTCAATAGGATAGTCCGTAGACTGGTCAATAGGCTAGTCCATAGACTGGTCAATAGGCTAGGCCGTAGACTAGTCAATAGGCTAGTCCGTAGACTAGTCAACAGGCTAGTCCGTAGACTAGTCAATAGGCTAGTCCGTAGACTAGTCAACAGGCTAGTCCGTAGATTAGTCAATAGCCTAGTCCGTAGACTAGTCAATAGGCTAGTCCGTAGACTAGTCAATAGGCTAGTCCGTAGACTAGTCAATAGGCTAGTCCGTAGACTAGTCAATAGGCTAGTCCGTAGACTAGTCAATACACTAGTCCATAGACCATTCAATAGCCTAATCCATAGTCTATTGAGTAAACTATAGATTAGTCAGCACACTAGTCAGTGGACTTGCTTATTGACTATTCCATGAACTAGATAGACCTATTTAGAAAAAATTTTAAACATTTTTCTTTTAAAATCAATTTTTAACTTACACTTCTTTTTTCTTACAAACATTGGGACCTTTAATATCCTGATCATAAAGTTCGGCCACAGTATTCGTTATCAAAGTTACAGTCACAAGACTGCAACTTAAAATGAAAAATAAATTAATGCTCAGCATTTTTATTACTTCTATTTAACTATTAATTATTAAAGTTAAGTTTAAATTTTGCTCAAAAAAAACCTTTGGCAGTGCTGCAAAAAAATGAAAGAAAACATTTAATTAACAAAAATTTAAATTAAAATAAATTAAATTAAATCAAAAACTTACCATAACATACATATGTACGTGCGAATAGTTTGTATATGCAAACAATAATATTTAAATTAAATATAATTGTATTTTATAAACATAATAAACTTTTTGCAACAGCATCTATGTTCTGCTGTAGTTGTAGTTTATTTACTAAACAGCCTTTGTGTAGAGCAAAATATGTTAACTGCAGTTTTCTTGATGACTCAATTGAAATTTTAAACGTTTTTATTCCAATTCTTATTATTTTCTTAAATATGAATTCAAAAAACTCCCGTTTTTTTATTTATTTCTTTATATTATATTGTATTGTTCTTGGAATGATAATTTATTATTTTTTGCAATACACTTATCATACTCATGCACAGTAACCAGTGTGCTTTCCTGTCTGTTAGGAGCGTTTTATAATTGTAGTTTTTATAGAAGACTGAAGAAACAAATTTGTTCAGTTTATAAGAAATTCGGCATCATAGTTTGCAGAACCTTATATGTATATATATTTATACCGCTGATATCGAAACGATAAATAAACTGTAAAGAAAAAGAATATACATTTGTATGTACGTTAGTATTTGTTTATATTAAATTATTGTAAAAATAAACTATAGTGTAATATAATCTTAATAATTAAATTTCAGTTGAGCAAAAATAAAAGTGAAAAAAAAACTTAGAAATTTCAAAAATATTTATAAAATCTTCATACAAAGTATTTTTGAATACACATAAGCAATTTTAAGATATCTTCGAATATTCGAACTTATGTTTTCCCAATTTTTAATTCACAATTTTTTGAAATTTTAAAGTATTTTTAATTTATCAGAACTTCAACTTTTTAAGAAGTTTTCGAAATTTCGAATTTATATTCGAACAAATTTTAAAACTGTTTAAATTGTCTTTAAAACATGAGAATTCATAAAAATATTTATTTAATTTTATTTGAGTAAAATTTCTTGCATTTTCTCAATTTCGAATTGAATAATTATGAAAATCGTTCCAAATTTTCTTGATTTTTAAAGTTTTTTCAATGTAGTTTCAGAATATAAGCTTTTTAACATATTTTCGATAATTCGAACTTATATTCGAAAATTCGAACTTATGTTCGAACATTTTTTGAAAGTGTTAAAATTATCTCTTAATCATGAGATTTCATAAAAATATAATTTTAGTTTTATTAGAAACCAATTTCATTCAATTTTTCAATTTCGAACCTAAACATTTTGAAAACAATTATAAAATTTTTAAGATTTTTTAAGTTTTCTTAATGAAGTTTCAGAATTTTCCGTTTTTTTAAGGTTATGTTGGAAATTTTCGAAAATTTTTTTAAAAATTTAAAAACAATTTCTAGCTTTTTTCCAATTTTGAATTTAAAAATTTTGAAAATTCAAAATTTTTCTAAATCATGAGAATTTATTTAAGTAAAATTTCTGAAATTTTCTCGAATTCGAATTCAAAAATTATGAAAATTATTCAAAATTTTCTTGATTTTTAAAGTATTTTCAATATAGTTTCAGAATATGAGCTTTTTAACATATTTTCGATAATTCGAACTTATATTCGAAAATTCGAACTTATGTTCGAAAATTTTTTAAAAGTGTTAAAATTATCTCTTAATCATGAGATTTCATAAAAATATAATTTTAGTTTTATTAGAAACCAATTTCATTAATTTTTTCAATTTCGAACCTAAACATTTTGAAAACAATTATAAAATTTTTAAGATTTTTTAAGTTTACTTGATGAAGTTTCAGAAGTTTCGGTTTTTAAGGTTATGTTGGAAATTTTCGAAAATTTTTTTAAAAATTTAAAAACAATTTCTAGCTTTTTTCCAATTTTGAATTTAAAAATTTTGAAAATTCAAAATTTTTCTAAATCATGAGAATTTATTTGAGTAAAATTTCTTAAATTTTCTCAAATTCGTATTCAAAAATTATGAAAATTATTCCAAATTTTCTTGATTTTGAAAATATTGTCAATATAGTTTCAGAGTATAAGCTTTTTAAGATATTTTCCATAATTCGAACATATATTCGAAAATTCGAACTTATTTTCGAAAAATTTTAAAACCTGTTAAAATAATCTCTAAACCATAAGAATGCATTAAAATTGAATTTGAAACCAATTTCCGTTCCGGAGCGAAGATCTTTAGAACGGCTTTTGTTTATGCAAATCTCAAATAAAACACACTTCTTTACCATAAAAATCATGTTATTTTCGTACAATTTTATTACATAAACTTAGCAAAACCCTTAACAAAAATAAAACATTAAGAAAAATACTAAACATTTCAAAATAAAAGTCACCAGCTTCTCATTTTAAAAAAGAAAAGTCTTGTTAACAAAATAAAATTAAAAACTAAACTTAAAATACTTTAATTTTTGTAAAAATAAAAAGTCCATTATTAATTGCTGGCCACTTTAAGGGTAGCAAATTCACTACTCAATAATTTCATAACATCAGCATGTTTAAGATCATCACGTTTAAATTTCTTATAATTATCCTTAACAAATTTGGCAAAACCGGTAGGTTCCTTAACGGGAGTCGGCATAATATTGCCATCTTTATCCTTTTTATTAAGGAAAATCTCTATGGCACCATGACAATAAGAGCAGCGTATATTTTCCACTTTTTTGGATTTGGAATGGGCATGGGATCTAAAATTGAAAAAGAAAAATAAGGTTTAAAACATAAAATTAAATACTGAACTAAATTATAAACCTACTTGGCTGCACATAAAGTACATTTATAAGTATATTTATACTCTATATCATATTGATGACAAACCCCAATTTTGGGTATTTCTGGGAAAGTAGCATTAGCTCTACGAGCCCATTCTTTCCAGGTGCTGCCATGACCACCCTCACCATTAAATATCCAAGTGGCAGCATGACACAGCTCATGTATAAGAGTACAACGCAAACGATCGGCACTGGTCAAAACTTTATCACTTAGTTCTATAACACTGGATCGAATACCCATTCTGAAAGTAATAAATTTGCATAAATATTTTCTTTTTCTTTATATATTTTACTTTTCTCACTTCTTTTTATTCAAACATCTGCCAGCAGTATTTGATAGTTTTTTATTCCAGGTTATGGGCACATTAAGTTGATTCTTAAATAATTTCTCATTGTACATGTCATATAGAATTTTAGATAAATCTTCTTTTTTAGTGCGATAATTATCGCGATAGTACAAGGCATCCGGATGACATAAGGTTTTACTAACGGTGACTATTGATTAAAAAAAAAGAATTAATTTATTTTATACAACCAAAAATGCTTTTAAATTTGTTTAAATTACCATCTAAAGATTTCAAAAAACTATATTTATAATCGGGAGTTTGGCAGAGTTCATGTAAGGCCTTGGCAGGAGCTTTAGTTTTGACAGTTAAGGGAGTTTTAAATGTTGCTGTTTCAGTATTAGATTTTGCTTTAGGTGTAACACTAGTTTTTGTATTCTTATCGGTTTTTGTTGTTGATCCAGAAGAACCTTTCTTTTTCGGTGAGGGTGTTAGTTGAAAAATGGGTTTACCCGTTTTAACCGATTCCAATTGTTTATTAACAAAATCTAATACTTTCGGTCGTCCCTGACTATCAAACGGACAATTGCCTTTGTCCTCTAAAACTTCTTCATCTTCATTATTGTTTCTATTAATTGTTTTAGTTGCAGTTTCTTTAGTCTTTTCTTTTTCATCTTCCTTAGGCAAAGCAGCAGTAGCCGCCTCAAACTCATCATCTCCAAAATTGGGTGTAAATAGTTTTCTTTTGGTTTTCTTAGTAGAAGAAGGTAATTTAGCTTTGTCTTCGTGACGGCAGGTTTTCAAAATGTCCTGTAAGCGTGAGGCAAAGGTGACATCATGATTTGCTGGAGGACTTTCTGGCACCTCATCTTGTACTTCTACCTCTTCCTTAGACAAATCCAAATAAACTATTTCACCCTCTTTAGAGTTATTGAGTTTTTTCGTCAAAATATTCGATTTATTACTGCGTCCTTTCGAGGTATTCGACTTTTTATTATTTCTGCCTCTAGGTCGGGGAGAATTTTCAAAATCAGAATCTGAATTATCCAGCTCAATTTCGGAAGCATTTTTACTCCACGATTCATCGGCATCATCATCGTCCGAAGCATTGTCCCCTTCAGAATTGGAATCATCATCGATTAACTGCCGCCATCTGCCATTGTCTACACGCCCTTTATTAATAACAACTTTAGCCACTGGGGGACGATATACTTTACGTTCGGTTTGTGGCATTGGTTTTGTAGAGGCGTTTTTTTCTTTTTGCGTTAAAGGTTTTTTAGTGTTACGCGGTTCGGTAAAAACTTCTTTAGTTGGAGCCGATGTTTTGGGTGTTGCAAGTCTTGTCGAATCCAGGTTCGTTTTGACAATATTTCGACGAACTTTAGGTTAAAGTTATAAAAAAATTATTTTTTGTAAAAATTTTAGGAAATATGTATTTGAAATGTTTAGAAAAAGTTTTTTAATTATGATCATAATTATGATTAAAATTTGTTTTGAAAATTAAAAATCTTTATGGAAATTCGATATTTTAGTGAAAATTCAATATTTTAGTGAAAATTCGATATTTTAGTAAAAATTCGAAATTTTAGAGAAAATTCGAAATTTTTGCAAAAATTCGATATTTTAGTAAAAATTCGATATTTTAGTAAAAATTCGAAATTTTTGTAAAAATTCGAAATTTTAATAAAAATTTTAAATTTTTTTTAATTTTTTTTTTTGTCGAAAAAGTTTCATTTATTTCCAACAACCACTTTCAATTATATTAAATTTTTAATCAACATTAAAAAAACTTCCTCCCACAACGCCACAAAAACTTACATATAGAAAAATCATCCAAAATACTCTCCTCCACAGCAGCTTTATGATTGGAATTCTTCTCCTTAGAGCTCTTAACATCATTCTTCTTACGCGATGAATTTGAAGTTTTAGAACTATTCGATTTTTTATCCCCGCTTTGACTGCTGCGCTTGAGAGTGCGTATGACATCAGGTGTTTGCCAAGATTTTCCATATAATTGTGTCAGAAGTTTCTCGGCTTCGGTTAGAAACTTTTTATCTTCAACAATTTCCACCGAATCAGAAGATTTATTGGGGGAATCAATAATTTCTTCTTCCTCTTGAGGACTAGTGGTTTTAAATTGCTTTTGTTTGCAATGAGTTTCGGGCTCATCTGAGTCTTTACTCTGATCTTTAGATGCAATACTATGTTCATTATCATTTTCTGATTCCATTGTTTGGTCCTTAGTTTCCTCGGGAATGTCTTGTGAATTATTATCGTTTTCAGCATTTTGTTGTTGATTTGATTCTAGACTTTTTCTCTCACTTCCCTCATCATCTTCACTGGTTTCTGTGGAAGGTATATGAATTTTAATGCTGATCTTAGCCGATATATTAATGTTCGCCATAGACATTTGTATTTGAGACATTTGATCATCATCCTCCTCCGATTCATCACTGGATTCCTCGCGATGAAAACTATTGGAAAGTTTTTTATCATCGGAGTTTTCTCTCATAGAAGGGGCAGTAGCAGAATGTGACTTTTGCTCAAAACTTTCTTCATCATCAGTTTCCGAAATGGTTATAGAAAGTTCTGGTGCCGTAGCATTAACTTCACCTGAAGAGTTTATAATAGAGGCAAATGAATCCTGTTTATGACCCGAATCAGCAGAACTTTGTGGTGTTGAGTGTATGGATATGGAAGAATTATTTCTGGCCTCTCCTCTCTTTTCAGGGGTTTTATAATCTTGTGTATAATTATAAACTAAAGATTGTTGTCCCAGGTCCCCAGTTATTATAGAATTTGCTATTGTATCATCATTAACTAAACGACAAGGATCATCAGTTTCTTTAGTTTTCTGAGCACTCAAAGGTTGTTCTGTATTGTCTTGTGTTTCCAAATTGGCCAATCTACGAGAATTATTTTTATTATTGTCTTCAGTCAAATGTTGTTCTGTTAAACAGTGCAGCGTATTATCTTCAGTTTCCAAATTGGCTAGTCTATGGGAATTATTTTTATTATTGTAAGCTTTAGGAGTTTCATTTTCCTCCTCATTTAGGGAAAGTTCCGTATTACATTGTGTTTCATCATTGGCCATTCTAAATACATTATTATTCTGACTTATTTTGGGACTGCTTGGTGTAAAAGAAGTCTTGTGATTAATAACAACTTTGGGAGTTCTTTCCACATCCAAACATTCCTCTAGTTGCGACATTACTGTATTATCCTGGGTTTCATCATGGGCCAATCGGTGTACATTTTTAGCAATATTGCCTTGTCTAGGGTAAGTTTCTTCCTCAGATTCTGTTAAAATTTCTAAATTATCTTGATTATTATGTGCCTTTCCCAAAGGTTCTTCTAAAGCTTTAAGTCTTTTTTCTCTTTCTAGTTGAGATGTTGGAGTAACTTCCTCTTCACCATCTGGAGTCATTGATTCTGTATCAGCCGTAGCAATTTGCCTTGATTTGGCTAAAGTTTCTTGTATTTTGTCAATTTCTCTATTGTCTAAAATCTGATCTACCGTATCATTTAGTACTAAATTTCCTTGTTCCGCCATAGCATGGCGCTCCAAAGATACATCTCTTAAGAAAGCAGCCACACGCTCAGCCTTATCATCAGTCAAGCTGGGTAGTATTAAATCAGATGTTAGAGAATTAGAGGGCAGACTAGAAGTGCCCATTACATCTTGTTCTTGCTGCTCAGGATGGCTTTCAGAAGTATCTGATATAGTAATGGCTTCATCTTCATCCTCCTCTTCTTCCTCATTTTCTTCATCATCGTCAGTCATTTCATAAGTTTTTTCCAATTTACTATTAGTAGAAGAGCTTAAATTCAGCGCTATGGTTTCTTCTAAGGCTTCCTTTACATTTATGGGGATATGATGGATAATGTGTATATTATTTGCTCCACTAGAACTGGAACGTTGACTTTCCGTAGACACCAACTGAGAATGTTCACTTAAATCACAAGTAGAACCGGAAGATAAAGAAATAGGCCTAGATTGCACCTCTAAAGAAGCAATTTGTTGAGACAGCAAGTCCACCTCATGCGCCACTTGTGTGGGATTATCATAATCCTGTGACACTTGCAAAGGATCCATGGTTAACTCCTCCTCCTCATCTTCAGTAACAGAATTATTGCACTCTCCAGTGTCTTTGGACGACTCACTACGTAATAAAGGATTTTGCTGAGATTTCTCTAGGTTTTCTTTATTTTCGTCCACAAATTGTTTTGAAATATCTCTACTAACACTATCCCTTTGTCGTTGTATTTCCTTCTGTTTCTCGGCTTCATTTTCATGTTGTTTCTTTTTATTGGAAGACAAAGTTAATTTAGCAAAACCTTGTTGGGGGTACACACATTGAAAAAAAGTAGAAAGGAATTAATTTAAAAATACTTTTATTTAAAGATTTTCCCTTTTTAACTTACGATCACTTATCGGCACTTTAATTTTTGTTGGATCTATAGCTTGTAATAAATCATAGCTGGGTATAGGATCCATTTTTTTATATATTATTTTATATTATTACAATTTTTGTTAAACAAATTACATTAAAACAAAATTTTCTAATTGCAGCTTCCTTTTTTTAATTTGATTTTGAAATTCTTCTTCGAATTAGAGAAGCAAGCCGATGGAAAATTTTCCGCGGCGGCGGCTTAGTTAGTTTGCGCCGATGATTTCTCGGCTTAAAAAAATTCAGCTGCGACGAATTTACGCATAAAAACGTTAAACAAAACGTAAAAGAACAATACATAGTTTAATCATTTAAAAAATAAAACTAAACAAAAACATAAAATTAATGAGATCCAATTAGTTTTGGTGGGTACAGTCTGCACAAATCTTTATGGTAAAGAAATTTAGTTGGCTTCTCTGGGCTGTTATACAAACACCAGCCAGCTTTCTATGATGATGTTTTTAATAATTTAGTAGGTAACAATTTTTCAGTAAAAATAACTGATATAATGTTTTATTAGCTTTGTAGTTTATTTTTTGTTTTTGTTTTTTTTTTACCGAATCTGCTAGTTATAAAAATAACTTAAAAACTCTTTTGATTCAAATGAAAAGTTTGTAGTCCATTTCTAAAATGAAATTTCTTTTGTTTAAAATGATTTTTCAGTTTAATTTACCTATAAAATATTTTGACTGTACATTTATAAAACTACGATTATTTAAGTATTTTTTTAAAATCGGCGGGAAATTAAGCCGCCGCTCAGCCGAGGAAATAGGCTGCGGCGCTGCTTGTTGAAAAAATCATCTAGCTGCCTGTCACGCCGTTACGGCTTGCGTCTCTGAATTCGAATTCACGCTTCACTTTTTTGTAATAACTTCAAAGTCGCTGTTATTTGTTAGCACGCCGTTGCCGGTTAATTAAAAAATGTTAGCCTATTTTAAGGAGTGCAATAGAAAATACTAAACACAGCTAAAAGGGTTGCATTTCATAAAAACCGGTAATTTGAAATATTTAACATATGTATTAACATATGCATGCTTTTAACGTGTTTTTGTAGTATTAAACTCGTATTGAGACGCAGGAACGAAAAACATTATTTAAATTTTTTTTTATGATAATTAATTACTTAAAAAAATATAGAAATTCAATACATTTTATAGATAGTAGATAGATAATTTTTAAAATTGTTTTTATTCTGTTTTCTGAATTCGGTCCTTATACTTTTATTTGAAATTATAAACAACAGTGTCTTTATATCAGTCTATAATCCAGACCATATCCAGTCTGGACTATATATCCGTCTATAGTGTGGAATATAGATCAGTCTATAGTCTGGATTGCAGATCAGTCTATAGACTATAGATAAGTCTATAGACTATAGATCAGTCTATAGACTATATATCAATCTATAGACTATAGATCAGTCTATAGTCTGGAGTATCGATCAGTCTATAGTTTGGACTATAGATCAGTCTTTAGTCTGGACTATACATCAGTCTATAGTCTGGACTATAAATCCACAATCTGGACCATAGAAAAGTAGTCTACTCTATAGATCAGTCTTTAATATAGACTATAAATTAGTCTATAGTTTAGACTACAGACCAGCCTGTAGTCTAGACTATAGATAAGTAGATTGTCCAGACTATACATTAGTTTATAATATTTACTTTCGATCAGTTTATAGTCTGGTCTATAGATCAATTTATAGTCCGGACTATAGCCTGGACTATAGATCAGTCTATAGTCAGGATAGTAAATCAGTCTATATTATTCACTTTAGATCATTTTATTGTCTGGACTCTAGATCAGTTAACAGTCTGTACTGTAGATCAGTTTATAGTCTGGACTATTTACCATTCTGTACTATAGTCTGGCCGACAGACTTTGCTATTTATAGTTCCTTCCCCCTGGGGTTACCCTAATATTTATTGACACAATTTTTCTGAAAACTCATAATATTGTGACATTTTTCTTTTAATATTTTTGAAATCAAGAAAACTTAGAAAAGCACGAAATAACAAAATGGAACATTGTCGAGAGGGACTAAATTTTGTGCCTTTACTAACACAAAGTACAACACCACCCTGCAGTGGCAGATCACGCATAAGTCTCAACAAACAACGGTACGAATCCGAAACAAAGAAAAAATAATCTTTTTAAAATTACCAATTTTATAGATCTCAACGTTCTCTAATCTGTTACAATGGCAATTATGAAGGTGATAGCAGCATGTTTAAAGACAAGCTTTATGAATTTGAACATTTAAGTTTGGTGGATACAGAAAGTGATACTGACTTTCCAAAGGAACCCACTGCACGTTCCTCTTTCATGCCAAAAGACAATAATGAAAGATCAACTATAGCTTGGCGTCTTTTACAATTTTCTATGCAGCAATTTTTAAAACCCGAAATGGCGGAAAAAGTTTCTGATAAAATAGAAAATTTCATGGAAAGTCTTTTGTATAAGAAATTGATAAAATGGTTTAAATTTGTAACCCTATTGTTTAGCTATATTTTCTATATAACTTTAATTTTATGGAAACGTTTGTCCGTATTAAGTAATTTCTTTTGGAAGAGACGTGTGGTATTTCGTAACTTATCACGACGTTTACTGTGGGGGCTAACATTGGCCAAATGCAGTGATCTATGTTTATTTATATTGATATTGATCACTATACCTGTTTTACTTATACTATCAATATGTGGTCTGATTATAGCACTTTTTAGCGGTATTAGAAATAGTTTTCATTATTGGTCATATTATATGAACAAAATTTAATTGTTAAAAAATTAAGTGAAGTGATCGTTTTAATTAAATTTAATAATAAATCTCGGAAATGCATTTAATAAACCAACAAAATGTAGAGGAAAAAAAAAACAACAAAAGAATTTCGAAAAAAAATCAAGTGAGCAACAACAACAAGTACAAACATTTCCGCCTGAAATGATAATAATGATCAGTCTCATAAACGTCATTACGATCGTGCAGAGTAGCGTAGTAATGATGCGCATGATTGTGATGCTGTGTTACTGTAACTAATCATTATTAGCATTTCAACTGACCGAGCGATCGTCCAACCGCACACAGTCCATCCACACAATAATAAAATGCGTTCAATTATATTAAACTCAAGTACCACATTCCCCCATTTTCCAAAAAAAAAACACAACAATTCAAGTATTATTCCCTGAAATTGTGTGTGCGTTCGTTTTTCGAGTCTCGCCTCGTTTTGTCTTGCAATTTAGCGGAATTTATTAATCATATGATATTATTTGTACATTTATATTTTTGCTTAATTTGTACTTTTTTATATTATTTTTTTATATTTAACATTTTAGTAAATATAAAATTATATGTGCATTTTGATAACAATTGTTTAAATATAAATATGTACTTCTCTTTGATATCCATTACTGTCAGCACTTCTTGTTTTATTTGTCCCCTATTTCCCTTTACCAGTGTCACAACAAAGAATTCTCTTATATTTTTTGTTTAATATTTTTTTCACTTAATGGTTCAATAAACTATAACAAATTAATTTAACTACACTTTTATTAGCCATACACGTTACGTTAACTTACAAATATTGCTGAAATATACAAAAAAAAAACTGGTTTAAACCTCACCTCAAATTCTTTGTTCAAAATTTTAGTTCCCTTTAAGATTCTAAAACCCGAAAGTAAATTTTAAATGGACAATTTTATCAGATTGTGGTTTACTTCGCTATACAAAGGCTAAGGTGTTAGGACTCATGTAGGCCATAGCGCCAACCATACCACGCTGCTCTAGATCTACTAACCTGTTTCCCAACGAGCCAACGAAACCTGAGAAGATATTGTAGCTTTTTAGGCTTGGTATACCACATATACTCATTCAGCAGCAACTTTTTATTGTTATTACCAAAAATTAGTAAATTGATAAAAGAAATTTGACTTGCAAATCTAATTCAGCAAACAATAATGATTTTTTACAATTTATTAAAGTTCCTATTAAATTTTTTTATAAAAATTTGTAATTCAGCTAACAAGTTAGGTAAAAAACGTTGGATATTCTTAAAGCAATAAGAAAAAAACTAATTCAGCTAGTATATTTTATTGAAATGGTATATAATTTCCCTTAAAATTATAATTCAGCAAAGTTTATTTTACGATTTTTTTATAATTTAACTAAAGAATTATTAATTTTAGTATGAAATTTTATAATTCAGCTAAGAAAAACACAATTCAGCTAAGTGTTTAATAACAAATTGTACAATTTTCTTTAATTTTAAAGTAATATTGCTGAATTTAGGGAATTCAGCTATTGTAATATAAATTCAGCTAACTTGTTTTATAGAAATATTAATATATTCTTAATGTTTACTCTAAATTATACCAGAAACCATATATATGTATGCCTAGTAAATAATAATTCAGCCTAATAAGGTATAATTCAGCAAAGTTTACTTTTATTATTTCTTTTTCTTTTTTTGTACCTCCATACGAATTTGAATTCAGCTGGCTTAATTTAACACACTTTGAAATTAAAGCAATACAGTTTATTGAAATTGAAATTCAGCTAAATAAAAAACTAATTCAGCTGTCAAATTTTGATTTTTAAAGCAATTCTTATAAAAAGGTTGAATTCAGCTGGCTTAATTTAACAAATTTTGTAATTAAATATAGTTCAAACTATAAAAACCTTATTCAGCAAATTTTAATTATAATATTTTCGGTTATTTATTAGGTATTGATTGTAATTAGTAAAATATTTTGCAATTCAGCTTAATAAAAAACTTATTCAGTTAGCAAAGTTTGATATTTTCTTAAGATTTAAAACAGTTCTTAGCAAAAAGTTGAATTCAGCTAGCTTAATTTGATAATTATTGATACTTAATTCAATTCAGCCTATTACTACCTAATTCAGCTTAATAAAAAACTTATTCAGCTAGCAAATTTTGATATTTTCTTAAGATTTAAAACAGTTCTTAGCAAAAAGTTGAATTCAGCTGGCTTAATTTTCTAGCCTATTAAAATCTACTACAGCTGAGTTAAACTCTAATATTAATTAATGCTTATTAGTTACAAATTAATAATTTTGCAATTCAGCTAAATAAAAATCTAATTCAGCTAACAAATTCTGATTTTTTCTTAATATTTAAAACAAATTTTTACTAAAAAGTTGAAATCAAACATTAACATTTAAATTCAGCTGTTTTTATTTCACTCAATTGAAATTAAATCTAATTCAGCCTAATAAAACCTAATTCAGCAAAGTTAAATTTTATCTTTATTGTTACATATTCAATAAATTTTTAATTCAGCTAAGTGCATAACAAATTCAGCTAACAAAATTTTGCATTTTCTTTGATATTTTTATTTTTTTTTTTAATTTTTTACTAAAAAAATATTGAATTTTACTTTGTCTCGACTGGGAATTGTACTTTAACTTGTTGTTTATTAAACACTAATATTAAATCGTTAATTTTTCTTGGAAAATTCTTATAAATAATTGATATATCAACCTACAATGTCTCAACAAGCTATTTTATTATGACACAACATTTAACCTTGACAATGAATTATTAGGAGAAACCAAAAAAAAAAATACACCCTTAAGGTATTTGATTATTATTTTCAAATAAATCTTTTATTTATTTACTAATTATTTAATGGTTTGTAATGACATGTCATGTTTTATTACCATTTCTATTCTATATTAAACACCTTTATTAAAAATATCATTCAAATAAAACTGTCTTCATATTATTAAAAAAAAATCAAACATTTAATTAAAATACATATAATGGACATGCAATAGTTTCAGCTTTCAACAATTGCTACAATTAAACTTTACGCTGCGTAAAAATAGAAATTTTGACAAAAAGTAGCGTGTTGGAAAAACTGATTTAATTATATATTTTGCTAATATTAATGGAAATAGAATTAAAGCGATAGCTACAGGGCGAATAGAAACCATTTTAACTATAATTCTTATAAACTTGTGAAGCAAGCGTCGACACCGAACGAGTGAAAGTAAGAAAGCTCTTTGCCTACTTCTGGCTGAATGTAAATTTTTAAAACTCTCGCGTTCATCCTTGTTGTGTGACATTGGATTTACTTTTTATACCCTACACCACTTTAGTGGGGAGGGTATATTGGATTTGTGCTGATGTTTGTAACATACAAAAAAATATTCGTCCTAGACCCACCTTAAAGTATACCAATCAGCTTAGAATCGTTTTCTGAGTCGATTAAGCTATGTCCGTCCGTCCGTCCGTCCGTCTGGCTGGCTGTCCATGTAAACTTTGTGCGCAAGGTACAGGTCGCAATTTTCAAGATAATTTGATGAAATTTGGCACGCACGTTTTATTTGACCTAAGGACGAAGCCTATTGAAAATGGTTAAAATCGGTCCATTATTTCACCTAGCCCCCATACAACAGAACCCCCCGAAAAGGGCTTCTGAGCTCATAATTATGTTAAATATACAGATATATCGATAAAATACGGCACAACTAAGTTTTATAGAAGTCTTGATGACCCTGCCAAATTTCATAAAAATCGGGCCACATTTGACCCTAGCTCCCATACAAAGTCCCCTTCAGAAAATTACTTGAATGTCCCAAATCAGCTTATAAACACAAATATCGCTATGAAATTCAGCACAATAAAATATTATGTCAATATAAATATATTCACAAAATTTTATCGGGCTTGGTCCATATTTGCCCCTAGCCCCCATATAAAGCCTCTTTCAGAAAATTTGTTTTTCATCCATAAATTGCTTAAATGTATCGGAACAAGGGAATATTGAAGATAAATGCTTTATTATGAAAAATAAATCACATTTAATATTCATAACTGGTGTAGGGTATCATATGGTCGGCCACGCCCGACTATAATTTCTTACTTGTTCATATTAAATTTTAATAATTATTAATTTCTCATCTTTCTATTTATTTACTTTGTATAGATTTTTCAATATATTGCTTTGTTTTTGTATATGTAATTGTTGCGCAGCAAGAAACCCATATTGTAAATTAATATCTAATTAGAACAGTGCCAAGGTTGTCATTTAAGGCACTCTTTAAATATTTAAATAAAAAACAATCATCCACTTATTTATAGTATTCAAATCATCATCTAATATTTAAGTAGATATTTGAGTTTGAGCGTATGTATAAGACAGTGTCTAATGATATTATAAGTTATTCGTAATAAAAAAAACTGTATGCAGAATAGTATCTACACCATTTCCAACTGTATTTGAGAAACTTGTAAAGAAAATTTAGAAATTTATAATTGTGTTTTAAATAGAATGTAATATATATAATTATGGCGACCATTTTATATTGCATATGTTATTCCGTTTGTAACATATTGAAATATTGGTCGTAGAACTACAGAAGTCTAGGGTGTTTATTAGATTCTTAGACGTTGTAGACATGTCCATCCGTCTATCTGTTCATAGGACTATAGATTTCGAACAGTATAAACTAGAGGAATGAAACTTTCCCCAAATATTGTCATTACTAAATTTTGTTTGATATTGGAATCGGTAAATATCGGTCCACGTTTTCACGAATGTTTGATTAACATCATATCATATTAGATCCCCATTAGAAAATTACTTTAAGGTTCATATAGTGATGAAAGCATGAATAAGTATTATAAGAACCGTAATAACATTACTTAATGACGATCGGTCTATAATTGACCCTAAGCCCTATATAAGGCCCCCTTCAGACCTTTAGATAAGATACCTTAAAGAAGCAGTATAGTGATGAAATTCAGCGTAAACAAATATTATAAGAATCATAATAACTTTACCAAAGTTATTGACAATCGGTCTATAATTGAGCCCATATAAGGCCACCTTCAGAAAATTACTTTATCATTAATAACTTGTTTCAAAATAGCAGTAAAGCGAATTTGGTTTAATGAAGTTTTCTAAGAAGAAGGATTCAGAAGATTTGGTCCACACTTGACTCTAGCCCGCATAAAACTACTATAACAGAAGATCAGTTTATTCTTAATAATCGTTCAAAAATCACAAAACGAATGTACTCTTTATAAAAGAGAGCGAAGACAATTAGCAATTTAGTGTCCCTTTTGTAAACGAGAGCGGAGACAGTCATCACTTTTCCGTCCCCTTGTAATCTAGAGTGCAGACCATTGTAAAAAGCTTAAGCTAAAAGGTCCTTGACTGTAAATCTATTGAGCGACGATTGACTTTCTCCTTGGACAAGTGCATGTTAAAATAGCTAGTCACCTGGGCAGTCGGTTAA